TTGATAAAGTTTGGAATAGAATTAGTAAAGTTATTATGCACACAATAACAATTATTAACGACGATGACGACTACAACGACAACAACAACAACAACAACGACAACGCCGGACAAAATTTTTCCATTAATATACCTTTCCCTTCCATCTTTGATGGTACGGGCAAGGTAAAAATGTCATTCCATGTAAAGTAATAATTTGACCATATAGAAAACTGTGTAAATATGCAAACCCATTTTTTGTGACATTTTGGACTCTAAAACTTAGATTCTGATTATTGTTTTCATTTTCATATCCTTACAACATTAAGCTATAATAATGAAAGCATAGAGAGAAAGACCCTTCAATTCTTACCACTCCATTGTCACATGACTGATGATAATAATAGCAGTACTCGTATCTTTCCAAACCACATGCAATGCTGCTTATAATGAGAAGTACTGTTCCACTGAATGTTGCTGAAATTATGCTCATCACCATAGAAGCAACAATCTGTAAAAGGCAAATAATTACAATGAAAAAAGCCTGCTATTTATAATTCAAACCTCATAAGACCGAACTCATTATTTTCTGACCAATTAGTTTGACTTAAAGGGCAATAGTCGACATGCTACACATATATGGGTCTCGAAAAACAAAGATAGCAATTTTGACTGTTGCGCAGATCAGCGAGTACAAACTGAGACGATATCAAGCTTTAATTAGGTATTTTATTAGATGACTGGAAAGTATCAAAGGAGTCACCGGCGGTAATTAGTGCAAGTCGTGTCCTGGTCAAACTTTATGTCACAAATGCGCAGCCTGATGAACACCGCCCTTATACTATGTATACTGGGTAACACTATCACCTATTATAATACAGCAATCAAAGAAAGCTTTTAGAAAAAATTTTGTTGTCAGGAATTGTCCGGATGTACCGTAATAAGTTTGCTGAACCTGTCTTTGCTTGGTTTTTTGAAATATTGCATTTTGATGTTCAGACGTACTCCCCTCTGCGAACTCACCAGCTATGTGATGGCATTTATTTACGTAATTTAATTTGCTTGCCTCGTCCTTGTGATGTAATTGAGGGGAATAGTAGTGTGATTTGAATTAAGTGGTATATTGAGATTTATTTCATTCCATGCGACTGCAATCTTGTCGAATCAGAATAGGGCATTGAATATGAGGTGGTAAGTTATAGATATGTATGTGCCTGCATGTGATTACCAGACAAAGTCACAAATTCTGATTCTTGTAAATTATATAGCAGCCTTGGCATAATACAGCATGAACAGAGAAAATTACAATAGTTGCTCAACATTAGCTCATCATGTGCAAACTTTGATTTCATCAAATTTTATTTTTAACCCAAAAATGTGCAAATAAAAATATAAAACCTGTAACACTTCCATGCGACCTCTTCCAACATCAATACAATCTCATTAGTCTGTGAAATCTGAAGCTTTTTTTTAATTGGAAACTAATTCATTAATTGGTTTCTTAAATTGTTTAAGTTTGTAGGCTAAATGAGTGAATTTTTTCACCAAACGTCATAGACAGGGTCCATAGCACTAAGAGCCAAATGATTACCAAGACTTTTCCAGAACCTTTTCCCAAACTTTCTTGCATTTTTCCAGGACCCTTAATTCAGGCCAACACCATCACCAAAACTCATCAAAGTTCTGAGGATGTGGTAGTTCCCTGGATAAAACAGGCCTTTCTAAAATGAATTAATAACTATGAAGAAATTTAAAGACTTTTCAAATATTTTTTTCATTTTCCTGTAATCTAAAGACAACTCAGACTTTGCAGACAACAAAAAACCCAACACTATGGACCCTGATACAAGTACTAATACTCCCTAATGTATATGGGCCGTAATCCATTACTGTAATCTCAAAAGAAAAAAATATGCAAACACATATTTTGTCAAAGTTCTTAGGCTTTATTTATTAGATGTGATCACATTTTAATCTAAAAGTGCCATTTTGGTGATTATTTCAGATTTTCTGTGATTATTTTTATTGGAAACAGTCATATTTGCTCTAATAGAATGCATGTAAACCAACAGTTGTATATACCTGATTATTAACATACATGTACATGTATGACATATTTAGACTATAGTCAAAGCACTGTCATTTGGGTAAGCACATACACATAGAGCAAATACAGTAGTGGAAAAATCATCATTATGTTTTGAGGTAGGAAGCACCTAAATTTTTTCACCACCAGACTTTCTCACCCTTTGTCTGCTTGTTTTTCTTAATATTCTGGGAATGAACTCTAATTTTGGAGCCAACTGGAAAAATTTGAGTCTATTTTCAGTTTTTATTTTTGCCCCAATCTTCTGAAGAAAAGTGTAGACTATAAACAGGACTATTTTTTCAATTTGTGAAGAAAAGAGAGAACTGATGGTGAAAAGGATAAGAAGTACTTACAAAACTATTGTGCATGTACTAAAAACTAAAATCAGTTGGTTTACTTATAGCAGGGGTTGTTCTAGAAAAAAACTGCGAAAGTTAAAATGGAGCATTCTATGGCTTTCTTGGTGCCAAAATTACTATTAAGACGAGTCACAGTTGAAGACTGTGGCCACATGTTATCCCTGGTCAATCAGAATTTTATGGTTGCCAGAAGGTCTGCTCCCCAGGGTAAAGGGGCACATGGCCATGGTATGAGGGCGCTGTGCCCCTATTCCCTTGTTTAAAGTAAAAACTATGGATACGATGAAACACAAGAAAACTGATGTACACTGTACAGTACAAAATATGAGCTACAGGTGTATATTCATCAACTGGATATATATTAGGTAGGTTTGGAGCTGGTCACAGTTGCTAGGCAACAGGAAGATCCTTATTTTACTTGGTCTACCAATGTATATTTAGTTTGGTTGCTATGAATGTGTCTGGTTGCTAGGAACACATATTAGAATGTTTGAGAAGCATGTCAAGAAGCTTAAAAAAAATCATGCTTTGAACTGGTTGCTATGGGCACGATCATAGTTGCTAAGGATATTGTTAACACTTACTATTCCAGTGGTCTTCTGAACTGATGATACAACACCAATAATTCCAGTAACTATGAACTGAAATATGAAAAAAAAAAAAAACTTACATTAATCACATGCTAAATATAACCCTACTACAATACATTGTATATGTAAACAAGGAATGCAAAATAAAAGATAATTTACATACTTTGGAATTATTAAATAATTATTATAGATCAGTCACCGTAATGCCATAAGTTACAGAGTGCCGTAATTTTGTGGTATTTTTATCCTATCATATTAGGAAATGCGAATTCTAAATATGGAATGATTACGCGCGTAAGCATCCTCTAATAAAAAAACAAACATGGCTGAGTTTGACCGGAGTTTGACCATACAAAGAAGTTCACTGATTCTGTTCTAAATTTTTTAGATTTCGGCATTCTCCATGATGTATCATTGGAAGGAAAAGAAGTATAATAATAAGGTTATTACAAGTATATTTAATGATTTAATGATTGCTTATAAGTAGCAACTTTTAGAGAATGTCTCAATTACATATCAATTTTCCTCGGTTCTACCCTAAAAATACTGTAGGCACAAGATATTGTATGTATAACAGACAAACGTAACACTATAAACTCAAACTAAGATAGCAGTTTTTGCCAAAATATTTAGTGACAGACAACCAGTACAATCAGACATATATAAAGGAATTGTTGCTGGCAATTTAATTTAAATTCAGTCATCACACCAGGCACCATAATGTTCCATAAATCTACAATACAAAACAATTAAACCAGCTAACCGCTCAGCTGTATGAATTTTCAACTTTGTTGTAAGATTTCAATGCAGCGGATCATACCATTATCAAAGGGTGTGCAAGTTGGAATACAAAAGGGAAAACAGTTTTGTGAACATGCATAAAAATCATTATAACAAAACATAACTAACCTAACTCCTAAATCAGAAATAGTTTATACAAGCCACAAAAATACACATGATGGGGTATATGCTGGTCTGATAACATTATCAAATTCTGAATTGGACTGTATTGATGTTGCTTAGCAGTTTCTGGAATGGAATACAGGAAAATACTGGAATTAGGGTGCCTCCCTAACGAATTATGAAGAATTTAAATGTCCCGGATACGGAAAACCATATACCAATGATGACAGAACATTTTAGCTAAATCACCCATGAGTAGCCAGCGCATTGACAGTACAGCTCATGCAAATGTTTTGCAATGTAGATTACAAAACAATATGATGCCCAGAATAAACTCAGGCTATTATTTTTCCAAAAACCATGTGTCCTGAAATATGTAAATTGTGTTATATTCATTCAAAGCAAAACAAAATACAATAACTAAAATTTCTGATATAACTACGATTTTTTTGGCAATAAAAATGTTTTCGCAAATTTTGTTTCTTTATGCCTTAGTTAAATTTATTTTCAAAAACATAGCTTTAATTACTTTTAACATTATGACACACATGGTACTGTATATTATATATTATTTGTTTTATTAGAAGCAAATCTCCAATAAAAGTGAATATAAACCAAAGATTGTAATGAATCATTAAAATATTACTAATTTTGACCCTAGAAACATCTACTGATAGAGCAAACACTTCTGATAGAGCAAAGTGGTATATAACTAAAACAAGTCATTGTCAATGACACGTCCCCGTTCCATTCATATTTGAGTGACATATACATTCAAAGCAGATCATGACCATAATCTCAGACCACTTTCAGTGGTCTGATCCGAAATGCACCTACATATGTACAACACATTGTACTAAATCTGAACAAAATCCATCCATGCATGACTGAGATCTGGTTCCGGAATTGTGAAAATATGTGATTTTGATGCATTTACGGCCTTAAAATGGCCATCATTCAGCTATTGTTAAGCGGATCATGAAACAAATGCACATATCTATTTGTGACATGATGTACCATGTGTGTGTGAAGTTTGAACTTGATCAATCCAAACATGTCTCGAATACGGATCCAAAACGAAATTCTTTAAAACAAAATAGCCACCAGTCGACCATTTCGAACTTGATCCGAAAAAAAAAATGACGTGCATCAAGGTCCTATTATGTTTAATGTATGTACCAAATTTGAACAAAATCCGTCCATGCATAACTGAGATCCGGGTCCGGAATGGTGAAAATGTGCGAATTCAATGCATTTTCGGCCTTAAAGCGGCCGCCATTTGGCTATCGTTAATGAGATCATGAAACAAATGCACATACATATTTGTGACATGATGTACCTTGTGTGTGTGAAGTTTGAACTCGATCAATCCAGGCATGTCTCAGATGCGGATCCAGAACTGAATACTTTAAAACAAAATGGACGCCAGTCGGCCATTTCAAACCCGATCCAAAAAAAAAAAAAAAATTACGTGCATCAAGGTCCTATTATGTTTAATGTATGTACCAAATTTGAACAAGATCAGTCCATACATAACTGAGATCCGGCTCCGGAATGGCCGCTATTCGGCTATCGTTAATAAGATCATGAAAAAAATGCATGTGCATATGTCCCATATAATGTGTGATGTATGAGTGAAGTTTGAACTTAATCGGTCCATGCATGTTCGAGATACAGGTGATCACAGACGCACAGACGCACAAACGCACAGATGCACGGACGCACACAGGGCAAACCATAAGTCCCTGTTTTCGGACTACGTCCGAACGGGGACTGATTAAGCTTAACAAAAATAAAAAATTTCAAACACCAGCAAATTTTGTCATCTATTTTTGTTGTGAAATGCGAACTACCGTAGTATACTTACCAAGGCACCACACCATATGGGTACACCACCATTCGCCATGACATTGTTCAGTGATATAGCAACAAAACCAAATATCATAGCCAATCCACCAAATATTATCTGACAAATTCCAAATGCCTTAGCAGTTTTATGAGCAAATCGTGGTCTATCTCCATTCTGTTGTTGGTTCTGTGTAGTGATCTCAGATTGGATAACTTGTGTTGTTACCACAGAGGACGGTACTTGTTGAACTTGCATCTTGGTTGATGAACCTGTGAAACAACAAAATAAAGGACATGGGGTAACTGATGTATGAAAGATATGAAAATATGATTAATAATAATAATAACTTTATTACACTACCAAACCATCAGTGGGTTCAGTATGGTAAGTATTACAAGACTAGGACAATTCTAAATACAATACAATACAATACAATACTAGAAAATACAATAATAGAAAATAAGAATAAAATAAAGACTGAGTTAAAAAATAAATGTTAAAAACATTTACATCAATGAATACAATTAAAACAAAAACTGATCTAAATAATGAACTACATTGTAGTAATTTAGTCCCACCAACCCCCCTCCCATAGGTGAAGTGATTAATTATTTGGGCTTAAATATTGTGTTGTTTAAACATTTTTACAGAGGTATACTGTTATTTTCACTGTTGATTTTAGAGAAGATGTACGTGTTATTATTTGAATTTTCAATGTCTTCATTGCACTCCCGGAATAATAATAATAACTTTATTACACTACTAAAAAACCTTCAGAGGGTTTTTGTATGGTAAGGAACATAAATACATACAATACATAAGAGATAAAAATAAAATGTTAGTAAATAAAAGAAACAAGCAGCCTATCGGCTAAGATAGCTCCGCTGTTAGAAATGCACATTTCA